GTTTATTGCAGCTCAATTCACAATAGCTAAGACACGGAATCAACCCAAATGCCTGTCAACTGAAGACTGGATAAAGAAATTATGAGATATGTACTCTGGAATACTATAAAAGTGGTAAAAACAATGAAATCCAGTCATTTGTAACAAAATGGAGAAATCTGTAAAACATCATATTTAGTGAAATAAGCCAGTCCCAAAGGGACAAATACCATATTGACAATATGTCTTGACTGTCGAGGATCAGTTTATTATTTTATTTTATTTATTATTATTATTATTTTATTTCTACTTAATACTTTTGGTTGAACTCTTTACTTAACATAGAAAAATCATAGATGTATAAAGTGAATTGAAAATAGTTCTCAGTAAAAAGTAAGAACGGGAATAAGAAAGGGAGGAGCTGTACAGGTCTGCATATATTCCCACAGACTAACCCCGAAGGGTAAAACTAAAAGCTACCATGGACTGCAAATTCGGTAAGCTGGGTGGTAATAATGCCATCTTATGTGTTAAAGTGATCATATTAAGTGTATAATTGATCATACAGATAGGATTAAGTATCAAAGGAATCATATAAATAAGACCAAGTTTCTGGTAGTAACAATAGATAGAATAAAAAGGAGAGAATGTTACAACATGGGAATCAGTCCACAGAGCAGACTGATAAAATGACAAACACCCTACACAGCACTTTGACCTCAGAAACAGCTCTTAGGGTTTTGGATCCGGCTGAAAAGCCCATGAGAGCATTTCAGGCATGGAAAGCCAAGAGACATGGCAAAAAATGATCTACGTGAAGGATCTCAGTGAGTAAAACCCCAGTGGAAAGAAGGGGCCATCAAAGAAGGAGGTCCACCTTTCTCTGAAGGGAGAACTTCCACGTTGCTTATGGCCCTGTTTAAATACTGACACAGTTTTTGGACTCGAAAGGCTTCCATGGCCTTGGCAGCTCATGACAAGAGCCTCAGGTGATCACTGACATCATAAATAAGAGTGTCAATTGTTAAATCAACAACAGGAGTCACTGTAGGGCCCCATGTAGGGCCTCAATCCTTAGTGAGTTGAACTATGAGAATTAAATCTAAAACTTATTCTCAAAAAGTACTTTATACTTTGTGTGGGTACAAATTGTGGATATCTTTACCTAGTATAGAGCTGGTCTTCTGTATATAAAGTTAATTAAACATGAATCTTAATGAAGAATGGGATGAGAGAAGTGGGGGGTCGGAGGGCGCGTATGAGGGGAAGAACCACTATATTCCTAAGTCGTACCTATGAAATTTGTATTCATTAAATAAAAGTGTTCTTAAAACAATACATGGCATTGGGCTGGCGCTGTGGCACAGTAGGTTAATCCTCCGCCTGCAGTGCCGGCATCCCATATGGGTGCCGGTTCTAGTCCTGGTTGCTCCTCTTCCAGTCCAGCTCTCTGCTATGGCCTGGGAAGGCAGTGGAGGATGGCCCAAGTGCTTGGGCTCCTGCACCCACATGAGAGACCAGAAACAAGCACCTGGCTCCTGGTTTCAGATTGGCACAGCTCCGGCCATTGCGGCCATTTGGGGAATGAACCAACGGAAGAAGATTTTTCTTTCTGTCTTTCTGACTGTCTGTAACTCTGCTTGTCAAATAAATAAATAAAAATCTTTTAATAAAATACATGGCATTTCTTCCTTTTTTATAACTAAAAAGCAAATAAAAGGGAGGAAAAATGAAAGGGAAAACAAATAATTCTCTTGTAGAACCCTTTTAAAAATAATTTTATTGATATATAATTTCCACACACTGAACTTAAACATATTTACAGGTTGATGATTTTTGACAAATATATATATAAATATATTTGTGTGTGTATATGTGTATATATATATATACACCTGAATAACCACCACCAATCATAATATACACATGATTTTATTACCCCGAAGAACTCACCCCTTGCTCCTTTGCTTTTAACCTCCAATATTCCGTTACACAAAGTGTTTCACAGAATCATAAGAAACATCTACAACTCCAGAAGTACCAATCCATTTCAGAAGAGAACAGTTTCCACAAAATGTTTTAGGCTAAGAGGCTCTTGATAACATAGCAGGACAGAATCTTTTAAAAAAAATCATTCTAGTTCAAATCTCTGCTTTCTAGGCAACAATCTGTACTCCTCAGTAAATCAAAGACTTGAAAATAACTGATGAAATGGGTTTCCGATTGTTCCCAATGTGGATATTGTTAGTATCATCGGTCTTTACTTACTGACTCTTTTTCTTTGAATAACCTGCTTTGTACCATTCTTAATGTTTCCCCCCTCTTTTGGAGAGTCATTCACTAGCACACCTCACATGTGGCTTCTTTCCAAGTCTTCAGTTCCTCCTCTCTTGGAAGGAGTAATTAACTCAAAGTGGGTTTCGAGGGAAAAACTAGATATACAGATACATTATTTTGCTAGGATTACAATAACAAAGGGCCAAAACTGGGTGGATTAGACAACAAAAATGAATTGTCTCACAGTTCTGTAGGCTCGAAGTCCAAGACCGAAGTTTTGGCACTTTTAGTTCCTTCTGAGGGTAGCGAGACAGAATTTGTTTCATGTCTTTTACCCTGCTTCTGGATGTTTGCTGGCAATCCTTGGCACCCTTTAGCATTTTGCAGTATATTCCAGATCTCTGTCTTCATCTTTACATGACATTTTTCTGTGTTGTCTGTGTCCATAATTCCCCTTTCAACTGGATATCCATCATTGGATCAGGGGTCACTCTAGTATGACTTCATTTTAACAAACTATATCTGCAATGAACCTATTCCCAAATAAAGTCACCATATGAGGTACTGGGGAATAAAAGTTAGGATAATAATATGGGGGATACAATTCATCCCCCAAAAGCATCCTAACTCTTCTCCTTCCTCCTGTTTCTTGGAAATAAGCCTTCTCTTGATACTCTTGACTGCCCTGGCATACTGTATGCTGATGGGTAAAGGCATAGTACTGCCAGTGATAGGGAAGCAAAGAACATCTTATTCTGGGATTCAGAACATGAAAACACACGTGTTCACAACCATATACTGCATTCTCTCAGATCTTTAATTTCTATAGGTAATATTTTGTTCTTCCATGTACCTTCTCCTTTTGTCATTCTCTAGTTGATTCAGAACTTCGGAGAAGAAAATTAATGTAAACATATGTCCTACCTAAAAAGTACTAATAACATCAGCTACAACCATAGCCTGTACAAATGGTGACTAAATTATTTGAATTCCTTCAAGTTGAAATACACAGGAGAGATATTTTCCAGGATATATCACAGTCATTGGGCGACCACTTAAGCCTGTAAACTAAAGGGACATAGATAAAATGAAGCCAGTTTGTGATATTTCTTCCTTTTGAGAGAAGTAAAATGAAGAAAGGAGGCCAGCCATTTAGATGTGTGTACAGTGAAGACCATCCTAACTGTTAGCAAACCAGGCTTCACAAAGAGGTGGCATTTATTTAGAAAGAAGATAGAGAAGAAGGTATATTTCTGCAAAAATACAATAGATTCAGTTAGGACAATTGAGAGTCTTGGGGAAAAGGCTGATGAAGAAGTCATCTGTCCTCCAAGGAAAGTTCTATCTGGAGACAGGGATACTACCAACACACAAGTGGCAGCTGACCTCCTAAGAGAAAATGAGGTCGTCCAAGGGTGCTGTTTGGAGGCAGGAAGAAAGGCAGAGAGCTGAGGATGAACCCTATAGAAGAGTGAAGTATGGAAGGCAGGATGAAGAGGTGTGCCAGTGGTAGTCAATGAGAAATCTGAATGAATTTGGAGGCAAAAACAATAACCAGGCTGTGGGAGAGGCAGCAATGATGGACATTTCCTTGAAAGACATTACAAAAATGTGTGGCACTTAAATCTTTGCCTGAACCATAATTTCTCCTATTCATAAGCTATTGTTCAAAGAAGTCATACTGTCCCAGTCAAATCAAAGAAATGTCTGCTTCCAAAATCTTATTCTAAGACTTCAGTGATGAGAAGAGTCAGTTGAGATTTATTCAGATTTTCTTCTGTGTTATCTTGGTTGAAAATCTTAATGGCCAAGAGAGGGAATCAGGATTTTTGCCTTGGCTTAAATAAAATGATTAAAAAATAGAAATTTTTCTGAGATACTAACATTATTGTTTCCAAAAGTTTAATTATCTGTTGACTACTGCAGGATAGTATCTTTAGAAAAAGTAACCCAAATTATCTGTCATGTCAACATTATCAATTATATACATCAATTAAAAATTTATTTCCTAAATGTTATTTTACAAGAGACTATAGGAATTGGATTTTTGATAAAAATATGTCTCTATTTGATTTTTTTTGAAAGGGAGAGAGACAGAGGGATATACAAATGGATATCAGTCTTATATTGTTTCATTCCCCAAATGTCCACAACACCTGGAACTACGGCAGGCCGATGCCAGAAGCCAGGAGCTCAAACTAGGTCTAATATATAGGTGGCATGGACCTAAGCCTTCAAGCCATCACCCGTTACCTCCCAAGGTACACATAAGCAGAAAAAGAATTGGAAGCAGAACTGGGACTCAAACTCCAGTACTGTGATAATGGATGTGAGTATTCCAAGTGACATCCCAATCACTGAGCCAAATGCCCTATTAAATCTTTTATTGAAATTGGACTCTGTAATTGTTGAATAAGGGAAGTTAGAAACTATTTTCTGAAATATTTTTATCTTAAAAATCCACATTTAATTTGAATCTGGCATGTGTCCTATAAATGACACAACTTTATAAATGAAAGCAAACATTGGAGTTATTATAAGAGCTTTGCACTATAGGGTAGGGTGGAAAGTATCACCATGTTCCTGAATCTGTATATATGAAATACATAAATTTTGTAAACATTAAAATTTAAAAAAATTAAAAAAGGTATAAAAAATTTAAATAATAAAATTAATCATAAATATCATTAAAATATCAAACACAAATGTTTCTCAAATACGGAGTTATGTCTGTCTGATTTAATTCAGGAAAACCAATGTGTTCTAGCCACCAACTTTTTCAATGCCTCTTTCACCTCCTTGTTCCTCAGACTGTAGATGAGAGGGTTCAACATGGGAATCACCACTGTGTAAATCACAGATGCCACTTTGACCTGATCAGCTGAGTAGCTTGACTTGGGCATCACATAAACAAACAAAACTGTCCCATAAAACAAAGTGACTGCAGTGAGGTGGGAAGTGCAGGTAGAGAAAGCTTTGTTCCTTCCCTCAGTTGAGCGCATCTTCATAATTGCGTGGAGAATGTAGATGTAGGACACAATAATGGTAGACAATGTGCTTATAAGGACTGACCCAGAAGAGATGGAAGGAGATATTTCAGCGATATAAACATGGCCACAAGAAAGCTTCAACAGGGGGAAGAGGTCACAGAAAAAATGGTTGATTTTATTTGGGCCACAGAAGGACAGGTTCATGAAACAGCCTGTAAATGATGAGGCATTCATGCACCCACCCAAGTAGGAAGCCCCCAATAGGAGGAAACATACAGTTGAGGACATGTGGGTGGAGTAGAGTAGGGGCGAGCAGATGGCCACATAGCGATCATAGGCCATGGTGGCCAGCAAGAAGCATTCTGTAGTACCAAAAGTGACATCAGAACCAAGCTGGGCTATACAGCCAGTGACAGGGATGGTAGTTTTTTCTCTTAAGAAACTGATGAGCATGACTGGTGTGACAGATGTGGAATACCCAATGTCCACAAAGGCCAAATGGCTGAGGAAAAGATACATTGGGGTGTGAAGCTGTGGGCTGCAACGGATTAAAATGATTATGCTGATATTTCCCACTATAGTAACTACATAAACTGCTAGAAAAACCACAAAGAAGATGGCACATAGTATAGGGTTATCAGTCAATCCCAAAATAATGAACTCTGTCACTGCTGTGTCATTGTCATTCTCCATCTATCCATTTAATGGTGCCTGTTGAAACTAGAATCAGAGAAGATTAAATTGGTAGAAATGACACCACTATTAATGTATATATCTAAACATAATCTTGTAATTAATTTTTAAATAACTTGCCTTATTTCTAGAATACTCTGTGCACACAAATTTTCTTTTCACAGAGTATTAAAATTGAAGGCTCAATTATCTTAGGACCCAACTATTGTATTCCTACTTGTTGCCACATAACAAGTCTAATCCTCATGTGCACATGAGATATAAATAGGTTATTTATAACAACAGTGACTATAATAACATAAAAAGTAACTTAAACATTCACAGAAGATCAGCTTTTGATTCTCTTCATTATTATTCCAAATATGATGCTTTCTCAGTATTCTCTATCTTAATAAATGGTACTTCCATTTATATAGTTAATTAGAATAAGAAACAGTTATACAGTTGCTATCTCTTTTACTCTCATTCCCTCCCTCCATGGCTCCTTCCCTCCCTTTTTTCTCTTTCTCCTTTTCTTTGAATAAAATATACCACATCATTAGTTATAACATTGATACCAAGAGCTTTCCAGTGTCTATATTTAAGATGAAGAGGACAATTTTACCGTTTCATGGACAAATATCCTAGCTATTTTCCAAAGTACCCCATGATGTATCTCCTACACCAAACCTTTCTATACTTAGGGATTTTGTGAGGCAATAAAAATCATTATGAACTAGGATTAAATAATTCAAAGAGCAATTGGGATTTGGATCAGGTAAGCTTTAGTTATAAAAGTTCTAGTAAACATCCATAGGGATATAAGAATTGGAAGAGTTTACACAGGGGAGAGGCTTAGGATGGCCAGGATAGAAGTAGTCAGTCCAGAGAAGCCAGCAAATTACATTGAAAAATAGATTAATCTGCATTTCAGAATAATGATCCCTTTGTTCAAAATACAGCACATGATGAAGGACAAGGAGAACATGTCAGTCGTATTCATCCTTTCCCATAGCTCTAAAGACCATATATTCTTCAAAATAATGTGCTGTTTCTTTAAGAAACTTTGTTTGAAGAATCATTATTAGCAGCCATGCTCTTTGCCACCATTCTATCAAACTGTTTAAAGTTACAGGCGAATCATGACAATGGTACACCATGGTATGAATAGTACAGGAGTACATGTCATAATTCTCTAAGGCCCAAGCCAGAAATGAATTTTATATTTTTAAAGAAAATAGATGTAAGAAAGACAAAAATGTTTTCCAAGTTGGATGTGGTTGTTCTCTTGAAGGCAAAGTGGTGTGCAGAAAGAAATACCATGGACCTTTTAGCCATCTAAAACTAGAATCAGTTTCTAGTTCTGCCTCTTACTACATCTATGGAATCTCAGGCAACTTAGCAAAAGTTCTCTGATCTTCCATTTCCTCTCCTGCAAAAAGGAGATAATAATAATACATACCTCAATTGTTGTGTTTATTTATATGATGTGGATGAAAACACCAAGCACTACTTATATAAGTAATATGTTCTCAATTTCTATAATTTTTCTTGAAATAGTCAATTTGTTACTTCTAGTATATGCAGGAGATTCAAATATTTCTGTATCCATACAAATAAGCACAAACTAGCGATACATCTAGCTGCAAGACTGGGGACAGGCTCCAAGGAATTGTTGCTGTACAGCAAAGCCTTATTTAAGTGAAGTTTTGGTCATTTGGGACATAGCCTCAAATTACTTACTTCACTTGTTTTGAAAAATTGCGCTGATGATCCCCTAGGACAGAGAAATTACATGTACACATCTATTGGGACAGAAATAAAATATACACATAATTATGTGAAAGTGTATGAATGGGCCGGTGCCGCGGCTCACTAGGCTAATCCTCCGCCTAGCGGCGCCGGCACACCGGGTTCTAGTCCCGGTTGGGGCGCCGGATTCTGTCCCGGTTGCCCCTCTTCCAGGCCAGCCCTCTGCTGTGGCCCGGGAGTGCAGTGGAGGATGGCCCAGGTGCTTGGGCCCTGCACCCCATGGGAGACCAGGAAAAGCACCTGGCTCCTGGCTCCTGCCATCGGATCAGCGCGGTGCGCCGGCCGCAGCGCGCCGGCCGCAGCGGCCAATGGAGGGTGAACCAACGGCAAAGGAAGACCTTTCTCTCTGTCTCTCTCTCTCACTGTCCACTCTGCCTGTCAAAAAAAAAAAAAGAAAAGAAAAAAGAAAAAAAAGAAAGTGTATGAATGAAATTTTCCTAAATACTCAGGGGCTCCATTTTGTCTTTGAAGTAAATGATTTGAAACAGAAATTACAACAGTTTTCTTCAATGAAATTGATTTTTAGATCAAAATGACTGGTGTGGCTGCAGAAATCTGTGACATTTCTGAAATATGACAATTTGTTGTGGACCAGGTTTTTATGTCACCTATCTTCAAAGACAATTTGGGTTTTCTGGAAGAGTTTGTTTAGTATTTAAGTTAAATTTTTAGTAACCCAACAATTATACATATTTATGTGGTATAGTTTGGTATTTCAACATAGGTCAACTTTCTCCATAACAGAGCTAAGCCTGATGATCCATGCTAGGAGAATCTTATAACTCATACACCTAAACCGCAACAAATGAGTAAACAGACATGATGTGAAATGCCATCTGTCCTAGAAAAAAAAAAAACTCATTTAGGTTGTATTAAAGCAATACTGTGGCTGATGAATGGTATAAATAGGAGGCTACTGATTCCATGAAAGTATTCCAGATTATATCTGAGAGAATATAATTCTTTTCACCACATATTCCACAAAACATTTGCCCAAGCCACTTGATCGGTACTCATTATAGTGGAAGATCTTTTTCTTTCCCTGGTACAAAGGTTCAGTGTTATGACTAGTTTTGGATACATATTTAATGGTCTAATATTATAAATACAGGAGGTGCTAAAACAGATATTTGTTGAATTAGTGTTGAATTACTAAAATAAATATTTTATGTAACAGTCACTGTGCTATAGTCAAATGGTATTATGATTTCTCACATATCTCACTATTACCCTCCTGATGGAAATGTAACTCCTAGTCATAGGAGTCTTAGGTCTCAGGTTTAAATTTGCTTTGGAATTGAAGGTTGCCCTGACAGTCTAGACTAAGTCATATTCTGCTGGTAAACAGTTTCAGAAAAGCCTGAAATACATCTTACACTTACAACACTTTAAATTAAATAGGAACTAGTTTAAATAAGGTCATTACTACCTACTGCCCTACAACTACCATAAGGGAGGGATCTCATTTGCCTAGTTCAACACTCTATTCATAGAACTCTACAGAGGGATGGGTACATAGTATCAAATTAATTAATAATTTTTAAGAATTATTTTGTTGTGGTAAGAGTACACAACATGTGATCTTTCTTAACAAAATTTTTATTATGATAAAATATTGTTAACTGTAAATACAATATTGTACAGCTGTTATCTAGAATTTGTTTGTCTTGCTAACAAACTTTGTACTCACTGCAGAATTTTCTTCTTTGTAAGACTGAATAGTTTTCCATCACATGTACATACCAAATTTTGTTTATCCACTCATCCTTCAATACACATTAGATTGTTTTTACATCTTCATCGCTGTGAATAGTGTTGCAATGAATATTGGAGTGCTATTATCTCTTTGAAATACTGACTTCATTTTTTTGGAAATGGGAGAGCTGGATCACAAATTTTGCATATTTACTTTTTTGAAAAAGATCTATACCTTTTAAAAAATATTTTATTTATTTGAGAGGTAGAATTACAAACAGTGAGAGGCAGAGGCAGAGAGGAAAGTCTTCCATCCACTGGTTTACTCCCTAAATGGCTGCAACAGCTGAAGCTGAGCCAATCCAAAGCCAGGAGCCAGGAGCTTCTTCTGGGTCTCCCACATGGGTGCAGGGACCCAAGGACTTGGGCCATCTTCCACTGCTTTCCCAGGCACATTTACAGGGAGTGGGATTGGAAGTGGAGCATCCGAGACTAGAACCGGTGCTCATATGGGACGCCTGCACCACAGGCAGAAGACTAACCCACTGTGCCACAGAGCTGGCCCCATCTCTATACTGTTTTCTGTACCAGCTGTACCATCTTGCGTTCTCACCAACAGTGTACAAGAATTATAAATCACTACATCCTCTACAACACCTCATCTACATTTTTTACAATAGCCATTCTTCCAAGTGTGAGATGATACCCATTTTGCTTTTGATTTGTATTTCACATCATGATAAGCGGCACTGAGCAATCTTTAATATACTTGCTGATCATCTGTGTTTTTTTGAGAAATGTCTATTCAGTTTCTTAGCTTATTTTGTAATAAGGTTATTATGTTTTGCTTAAAATATTTCCTTGCACATTTTGGAAATTAACATATATTTATATGTTAGCATATATATGACATATATGATATGCATATGTTATCTAACATTTCATAGGATGCCTTTCACTTTACTGATTATTTCCTTTGCTGTGAAGAAATTTCATAGTTGGATATAGTCCACTTGTTTACTTTTGCTTTTGTTACCTTGCTTTAGTATCATATCTGAGTAATCACTCACCAAACTGATGTCATGGAGCTTTCACTAAATGTTTGCTTCTAGGAGTTCCAAGGTTTCCAGTTATACATGAAATATTTAACCTATTTTTAAAGATTTATTTATTTGAAAGGCACAGTGATGGAGCAAAAGGGAGAGTCAGAGAAAGAGATATCTCCCATTCCCTGACTCACGCCCCCAGTAGCTACAACAGCTAGGTCTGGGCCATGCCAAAGATAGATGCCATGAACTAATCTCAGTCTCCTATACAGGTGGCATGGGCCCAATTACTGAGGCCAATCTCTGCTAAGCTTCCAAGCAACTAGCTGTGAGCTGGATCAGAAGTGGAGCAGTCAAACCAGGCATTGAACCAGCACTCTGATATGGCATACAATCATTGCAAGCAGCAGCTTAACCCACTCCACCATAATGTTGGCTCATATCTCATTCCATTTATTATTATTATTATTTTTCAACATGTTCAATAAATTTAAAAGATATATATTTTATTTTATTCTTTTATTTTTGACAGGCAGAGTGGACAGTGAGAGAGAGAGACAGAGAGAAAGGTCTTCCTTTTGCCGTTGGTTCACCCTCCAATGGCCACCGCGG